GTTTGGTCCGAATACCTCACTTCCACCTTCTAATAGCTAAGTAGGAGACTAACAAGGCTCCAATGATCAAGGTGCCAGAAAATCCTGCCACCCACAGGGCTTTGGGATCCACAGGAGCACCTAGAGGGTGGAAACATAGATTAGCAAATGCTAGGACCAACCAAGGGATTCTATGTCAAAACCTGGGTCTCACATAGGAGAATATTACCTTTTAAGGAAAACACAGTGAGGAATAGGAATGGGGGAAGGCAATGGCTTTGGTTTGATTGGTGGTTCAGGTAGCTAGTGAAGTGTTTTCTACTTACTTGTAGATTTATAAGGCTTTTCTAAAGGGTCTTCAGTAGCTTGGAGTAGAATCATGGGGCCCATGCTAGAAACACTGGCAGTGCTATTCTCAAAATACAGGTCAGATTTTCTTCTTCCTATAGGAGATAGGTAGTTATTGGTTAAAATTTTAGTTTTGCACCCATAGGATTAAGGGTAGTGATTGTTTTGGTACAAGGCCAAGTTCCTTAATAGGTAAAATTTTGTCCTATTTTATGTAAAAGTTTTACGTGAATAAAATTTGTACTTTTAATTAATGCTTACTTTGGTGTCACCAGAATCTGGGTGTAAGATGTTAGAAACAATTAAGAGGGAGAAGAGCTGTTCAATCCTGCTACTGCTTTTTCAGTTATAAGCTCTTGAGAAAGTAGCATGGTTTAGAAAACAGTGGTACTGTACACAATTGGAGCAGGAGAGGTATTTGGTGGAATGCCTTGAAGAAATAGTTCCCATGAGTGTATTTTGCACTGGTGAGGACTTAAAGACAGAGGTCATGACTCCAAAACAGAGTTGAGACAAGCAGCAGTGGGCCAGGTAGAAGTCCACCTATCCTGTGGAAACCCCAGGCCCAGCCATCTGGAGGGTATGCTCCAAGTCTACAGTTACTCCTGCTGAGAGGGTTTTGGGCTGTGTTGCTGGCTGCTGTCAGATGGGCATAAACACTTACATGGTGAAGCAGCGGTGGTTCTCTTAAGTTGGGCTAGATGAGCTGGCACAGTGGTGCACATTCATAATCCCAGCACTCCAGGAGGCTGAGGTAGTAAGACTGCAAGTTCAAGCCCACTCCAGGCAACTGTAGTGAGACCTTGTCTAAAAATATTTAAAGGGCTGAGGATACAGCTCAGTGCTAATGCTTATTCAATTCCTGGAACTGTGTGTGTGTGTGTGTGTGTGTGTGTGTGTGTGTGTGTGTGCAAAGAGGATCTGGGGAAAGTGGAGGAACCAGATGTATGCCTAGACTAGTTTGGCTTCTGGGTTTTTTTTTTGGCAGAACCGGGGATTGAACTCAGGCCCTTGCACTTGTGAGGGAAGTGCTTATTCTACTGAGCCATCTCCCCAGCCCCTGGCTTCTGGTTTAATAGAAAAGTATATAGGAAAATGCCAATGTTAGATCATCTGAGTATATCTTACATTCTAAAAGACCTGGGTTGCTAGGAATCTGGTTGTCTCCATTTTAATGCCTTGTAGTTACTTAGATCTTCAATGAGATCAATAATCAGCTTGGGTCCAGTGGGTGAGAAAGGTTAGAAATGGGGCTCACAGTGCACGTGTGTGGCCACCAGCATGGGTGGCTGGAACACTCACGAGTGGCAGGAGGACAGGTGACCATGCAGGGTAGCATCTCTGCAGGCTGGCACACAGATACGCTGCAGTGCAGAAATACCTGGTATCCAACATAACTCAGGTCATGATACTGTACCACCCACCGTGGTCTTCCAACCTTCGCCTCCCCAAGAAGAAGTTAAAAATACTATCAGGGATCCTTGTAGAACTAGAGTCCAGGTGACAGAAAGCACCTGTTCCTTCATACCAAGTGCTGCTTGGAGGCAGTACCATGAGCCAGCATTAAAGGGCCCCCTGGATGGAGAAGTGGGAGGCTGCAGAAACATTCCTAAGTGAGGGTGGGTCCGGAGCCTAGCTAAGAGGCAGGAGAAGAGACATCCTACCTGTCCACTCAGAGCCTGCTTTGCCTTTGCAGAGTCTACAAAGCTGAAGGTGGAGAAACTGAAACGCTGGTGGTGTGAGGGAAATGGCAGGCGTGAGGCTGTCTCAACAGGGATCCTCTGAGTCCGGTAGTTGTCTCCAACATAGGGGCAGCTAAGCCAAGAGACCCGAGTCAGGAAAGGCTTCTTTAAAAGGGTGGTACAGATGTGCAACTACTTACCCTTTCACCAGAATGGGCCACTGCAGCTGGTGCAGGGGGTTGGGGTCAGGTGTAGCCCAGCACTGCTGGAGGAGCAGCCCCAGGTTGGGGTCTGTCTTGTGAAGGATGGAGACCTCCACATAGACTGGATCCTGAAGGAACTTCACCACTGGGTAGTCACTAGCCACATAGTAGGAGCTGTAGTCCTTATCTGCACAAAACCAAGATAGAGGGAAATGTAGCGCTAGAAACCAAGTCAATAGCAAACATTTATTGCCCTCTAGATGCCTGTGAGTATGTCCTGAGACCAACTTAGGGTCTTTATGCTAAAAAACATGGGGACTTTGAATGAAGGATAAATGCTCCAGCCAAAAAGGTCTTACCCTTAGCAATCCGAAGTTCTAGAGTGAGGGTTCCAGCCTGGGTCTTGGGAAGAGGTGGTGAAAGGGTAAATACCTGGACATTAACTGGGAATGTGTTACTGTTTAATGAATAGCTGCAGCTGACTTGAAGCCTGCAGGGAAAAAAAAAAAAGAAAAAGAAAAAAAAAAAAA